TCCCTCTGTGTGGGTTTGTCTCAAATGGAGAAACTACATACGTAGATACAACAGGTTGTTTCTGTTCAGAAAATTGTGGTTTCTTGTTCAAAGCAACGAGGAAAGGGTTGGGCGAGAATGCTCCCCTCAATGTTGTTGGGTTCCACATACTTTCTTAATGACCGAATAGTGCTAGAGTAACTGTGAAGTGAGTCAGCCTGAAAGGTTTGTGGCTTGCTGTCCAATACATTAGTTGTGATATCAACACCAGATACTCAAAAGGTAGAGTCAGACGTTGCTAGGAGTAGATGTTCCTAGAAACGGTGGGGGCTCAATCAAATGTAGGTGTGGTTGTTGTGGGTTTTTCAGGCTCTTTGGTCGTGTTCTGAAGGTTAGTCTTCCTAACGTTTTGCCAGTCTCTGTGGCCAGCATCTTCAGAGGACAGCACTCTGTGCTCTGGTGTAGTTGGCTTGGGAGTGCAGTATTTATGGCTGTTAGATAGGCTTTTTTTTTCTTTTTCTGTCGATGCGTGATTAGTGTGTCTTGTTGTGGGTGTATTGTTGTGCTAAGGAGAAGAGATTATCTGTCACTGTGGTTGATGGGTGTCATTAGCTGATCTTTTGTGTGTAGTGATTCCCTGTCCTTGTGGCTGGGTAGAGTTTGTTGACTTTTTGCACACTGTATTTTTGAGAGCTGGGAGCCAAGTTTTGTTGAGCTTCACACTTTCCTCTTTTTTGTTGAAGGAGATATCTAGCATAAAGCTTAGAGGCCACTGATAGGTCTAAAGTTACAAGGATCTAGAGGATCGCCTTTCTTAAAAATTGGCACAACAATGCTAGTTTGCCAACCTGTGGGAAGGTTGCCTGTACTATTAATGTAGGTGAACAGACTGGCTAGAATAGGAGGCCACCACTCAATTGCAGAAACCTCAGCGGGGATCATATCTTCACCGGGAGCCTTGCCATTCCGAAGAGTTTGAATCAGGTCCCCAATTTCTTTGGGGGAAACAGGTGGCCATTTGGGGGAATTAGAGAGGGTCTCATGTGTAATGTTTTTATGAATACTACCCCCCAAAATGCGACTGAAGTGGGAGACCCATACCTCTGGTGTGATGGAGTTGGCAATCTTAAAGGCTTTCTGTGAGAAGCCTCTTTCTATCTGCTTCCAGAATTTGGGGTCATTACCCTCAATGAGGCCCTGGCCCAAAGATTTCCAGTTCTCTAAGCAGAAAGCCTTCTTTTTTTCCTCTAAAGAGAGGAAACATCTACAGAGAGATTTATATTCTCTCTGTAGATGTTGCAGGAAAGCTGTAGCTTCATCAGTGCCAATTATGTTTCGCCTGCCTTGCTGCTCTGGTCAGCTCTTTTTTGCTTGGTCTTACATTCCCTGTCGAATCAGGACCATTGAGCTTCAGACATTCTTTCTGGGTGCATAATGTTTAGGTGTGGTTTAAGTGCAAGAATTATATCCTGGTAGACCTTGCAAATGTTTTGAGTCCCCAGAAGAGCATACTGTCGTAGCTCTTGGAGTTTATTGGTGCTCAGCATCAGCCTTATACTGTTATCAGTTTTAATAGACCATTTAAGCTTTTTCTCACCTAAAACGTGGCCCAGCATTTTGTGGTCTGTTAATACCCTTGACTGATTTTGTTGGAATCTTAAAGACACTCTAAGGGGGAGATGGTCACTTTCTGGCCTGTCATCGATTGCTAGAGAGTATACATAAGGGAGAACAGCAGAAGAGCCTACAGTGGGCCCTCGACAGTTGAGTCAAATTGGTGCTGTGTTCCAACCAAGCAAGGAGCATGATGTTTTCAAGGACCTCTGAATTTCCCTCATCATCATCATCCTTGCGTCTATTGGTCCAAAAAGACCAGGAAATTATGGACCATTGTATGGGTCAGGAAAAGTCGAGGGGAGGCTCTACAAGATGTTTTGTTCTTTTAAAAACGTTTCAAGAAATATTTCTCTCAGTCTTGGGGATTACTAAAGTTAAATTCTAAGCAAGGACAACTAGAATAATCACCTACTTATTCTGAATTATTCTGACCTGTGAGGCCCTATGTTCTAGGACCTTTGGATAACGAACCAGTCTGGTTTATTCACCATCAGCTGAGATATGTAGCTAGATTAGGCAAAAAAACCCCAGTGATGATAATCTTTTTTATTAATGACATGGGAAATGGAAAGCAAACTCGAACAGAAAAGTCCCCAAAACACTTGAACTTAAAAGCAACAACAACTGCAAAAGCTAGTTCTTCTCCACATACTCACAGACCAGAAACGCATCTCCCCCACAAAGCAAATGTTACCATCAGACCAAGTCATTAATAGATAATTGATACCTTGCAGAGATACAGGTAAGAGAAAGGATGAAGAATCGGGGGGGGGGGG